AACTCATAGCCTCCTGTCTTTTTAGGAGGCTATGATCAACTACAGTAAATAAACAGATATTTAAATATCAAGAAGGCTATAGTTTTTGGTTGTTTTTTTTTTTGGAAGAAGGCTATATTGTCATTGTTTTTAATAATAAAAACATGGTTTTTTAAAAATATTTACATATGGGTTTTTTTTCTTTTTTTAAGAAACCGATTTAGGAGACTACGGGTTTTCTTAGTGTTTTTAAAAAAAGCCGAAACACATTGTTTCATAAGCCGGTTAGGCACTCAGACCGTCAGGCGTCAGCAGCTGACTCAGCTTCAACAGTTAAAAAATTAAAACCCAACACTTCTAAAAAAAGTAAATATTTATGTAAAACCCGTTGGCCGTGGCCGGCCCTTGGGCCGCAGGCCGGGTTATTCGAGTTTTTCTAGCTCGGTCAATAACGGTTATCGGTACTTGTGGAATCATAGTTGGTACTTTTAAAAAAAACATATAATAAAAATATTAATAGATTAGTATAATAAATATAAATTTTTACACTCTCGCGCAGTCACGCACAACTGCACATTCTCTTGGCATCGCACAGTGCCACAGACGCACACTTCTTGTGTCGGACGACGCACGGTCAGTCACACACACACATAATACGCGCACTCAAAAGCCAAAATCTCTTCTATTTGCAATCTGGAAACTATGTATGCATATGTATGATTTGTTTGTTTGTTTTTATAAAAAAATGAATACACACTTGTTGTGTGGGCCTTGTAGGGCCATGAGACCGTCAGACTGTCAATGCCATCACAGGCTCACAGCACAGATATTGCGGCCTGCGGCCCTGCGGCCTACGTGGATAAACTTTTTGTTTTGTTTTGTTTTAGGAGGAATTACAGTGAAATGTCCTCTATTTTTAGAGACTTGAATGTATTTAAATGTGTGTGTAGAAGAAGGCTATTTATTGCAGTCCTTTATTAGGAGAGTGATACATAAAGATACCACGAATATACGTTATAACGTTTCGTAAATATAGAAACTTTATACGTTTATGTAATTTTTTGTTTTATTTTTACAAAACAAAATCTTCTGCACATAAATATGTATAAAAAAGGAATTTGTTGTCCGAGAAAATTGCCTTTTTGAACACAAAGCCATCAGGCATCAGCCTTGAAATTTGTTTTTTACTATAAAAAACAAAATATGTATATACGACGCTATTTCCAACAAAACATAGTAAACGCACAGATAAAAATTAAATATACCCGATTCCTCGGAGTGTGGTGGATTGCTTTAAACGAGAACATGGCTCTCAGTAATCCTTTATTCGGTATTCCTGTGAATGTATTTATTTTCAATTTTAGAAACGACTAGTAGACTACTCTAGAGTAATACGTAGGCTCTATATTTATAAATATAAATATATATATACATATTAGTGCAAAGTTGAAGAGAGCGAGAAGAAAGAATCCGTAGGACAATACATTGCATATATAATAGCTCTCACAGTAAATGAGCTACATATTAATAGTTCAATACTCGAGCATATACAACACCACGCAAACTACAAGGGTAATAACGCGTCAATTAGTAACGATTTCCGTAAAATTCATCAGAATATACAACAGTACACAGTTCATAAACGAGAAACAACACCCTCTCGAATACAAAACAATATAATATTCGAGTTCAATCAATCAACCAAGCAACATGTTCAGCATTAAATGGGATGATATGGACCTGGGTGACGTAAGCTTCAGCGACCTGGCTGGTAGTCGCGCCCCCGCTCGCGTCATAGATCATGAGAATGTTGCGGTGCGAAAGGCAGCTGTAAAGGGCACTGTTGAGATTATAGCGGACATGATTTTAGAAGCGAAGGGTAATCTAGTGTTTCTAACTGGGGCGGGGATGTCAGCCGCGTCTGATATACCTACTTTCCGAGACCCCGATCACGGTGTCTGGGCAACACGTGATCCCAAACAGTGTGGTACTAAAGAGGCCTTTGTGCATCACCCAGAGAGACTCTGGACTGTTTTGATGGACGTGGTAGGCCCGGAGAACGACCCCAAGCCCAACTTGGGTCACAAAGCGCTCGGAGATTTAGAAGCTTTGGGCTTCACATCGACCGTGGTCACGCAGAATGTTGATGACTTGCACGAAAACGCAGGTAACAAAGATGTCATGCACTTGCACGGCAATCTGTGGCGAACTTTCTGTGTAGCGTGTGGGTTGCAAGGGACAAACACGCACGAGTTATTGCGCACAGTGAAGAAGGTGGACTTGCCACCGCGCTGCGATCACTGTCACGGGGTGTTGAAGCCCGACGCGATTTTATTTGGCGAGTTATTAGACAATAGTATAGTGGATCGGGCTTCCGATTTGGTCAAGCACACACCGCTATTGTTTGTGTTAGGTACCAGTGCTAGAGTTACGCCTGCGTCCGACTTTCCGATCATGGCTGCAAATCATGGGGCGAAGGTGGTGGAGATCAATATGGAGAGAACTCAATTGACAGACACATGCGTAGATGTATTCATGAATGAACCTTTAGAGGTAGTGCTACCGCAGATAGTTGAGCTGGTGAGGCAAAAACATTTAAAAAAGGATCCTTTAGGAACGTCGATGTTCACACTTCTGTCGTCGGTACTGAACGGGTCATCGAAAATGCCGGAGTGAAGCGATTCTTGCAAAGTCCCCTAATTTCAAGAGTGCAGCTATTCGGGTATATGTACTTGCATGTTATATACATTTATATATATATATGTCGAATATAGAACATACTGGCCTCAGCAGTGAGTGCGATGGAGAACACACCGTTGTTATTTGTACTGGGCACAAGTGCACGTGTGAGCCCGGCCACAGACCTACCTGTGATTGCCTCGAACGCGGGGGCAAAGGTTGTGAAAATCAATATGGAGGAAACCCAACTAACCCACACGTGCGTGGACTACTACCTGCACGCGCCCCTAGAGACTGTCTTGCCACAGATCGTCGAGTGTGTGCGGAGGATACACCGGGAAAGTAAACCCCGGTCATCCATTGTGGCGTCTTTAAGCAAGACATTCTCGAGACCCTCACTGCTTCCCGACCAATTATAAACTTAAAAGGTATATAAAAATACATCTTGCTTGCACCTACTCAGACTTGTTCATGAGGTTAGAAGTCGTTTCTCGTGTATGTGCATGCGCATGCAGGCAGTCTTGATAGCTTGATACTTATTCTCGCGAAAGATTTCTCGTTGATATAGTACCTGTATATCTGTCGTAGAGTTGTATCGCTTGTGCGCACGTGTGTGTTGACACAGAACGGAATGAATTTATTCACATCACTCACAGTGTTGAATTAGCATACGAATGGCTCAATATAATGTGACTCTCACACATATAGTAAAGCACTTCATACATCAAGTAAGGGAAAGGCGTCACTTATAATGATGTGAAAGCTTTCTTGTACACGTACTTGTCCGAAATATATCTATTACTTTACAGGCATGCATATATATATATATATACATATGCATGTGTGTGTGTGTGCGTGTATACCCGTCCTGATTTTCAGTTCAGAGAGCGACAGTATCAAATCCATTGCATCGGATACGTTGGGATCAGTTTCCTACACTTTTCTTGTATTAGTTGTTAGTAAGGCACATTTTTTTTGTTGAAATAAGGGATTGCGGAATGTGAAACAGCATTCCTGCTTTCAATTATGAATATGTTCTTTGGTTCCTGTAGAGATTTAAAATTCAAATATTCGTGCATATATGTTTATATATATGTATATATACATATATATGTATATGTGTGTGCGTGTGCGTGTGTGTATGTATGAATCTATATCTATATCTATCTATATATATATCTTATGTATATATATATGTGTGTGTGTGTGTATATAGATATATAGATATATATATATGTGTGGATGTTTGTTTGTATGCATACATGTATGTCTGTATCTATGTATGTCTGTATCTATGTGTATCTATGTATGTATGTGGGTATGTATGCATGCATGCATATATGTATATGTAAAAAGATTTTATTATATACATTTATATAGATGTAAATATATTTTATCTTTTTCATACAGGTCTATATATATATATGTATCTTTACATATATTGATTGTTTTATACATGTTTATTTATATATATATATGTATGGATATGTATATATATATATCTATATATATATATGTGGGTGGGTGGGTGGGTGTGGTTATATATATATATATATATGTTTGTGTCTTTTGTATATTTGTTATGTGTGTGTGTATATATATATATATATATATATATATATACGTGTGTTTGCTTGTTTGCTTGTTTTTTTATATATATATATGTGTGTGTGTGCATGTGTGTGTATATATGTATATTATTGTAGTATTATATGATTATATATATATTCTTATTGTTTTAATTTTATATTGATGTATATGTATATTTTTGTATTCTTATATGAATATATATATATCTATATTCTTATATATATATTCTTATTGTTGTTATTATATATTTCTATATATATGTGTGTGCATGTGTGAGAGTGTGGGTGTGCATATGTTTATATATATATATATAAATGTATATGTGCGTGTGTGTGTGTGTGAGTATATATATCGTGTTTGAAATGTTCAAAAGCCAGTTCAGCAAAAACATACACGATGTATTCGAGTCCTACTCAATGACTATCGATTCATCACGAATAATACTTGTCAACAAGATTTGACCTGCTAGCAGTGGCAGATCATCACTATTGCGGCCCTACATTGGAGAGGATAGTACAGTGTATGCAATATGCTTTTCATTTGCATTTTTTAGACCAAAATTTAACATCGTTTCTTATTCTTCCCACAGTGCGATGTTAAATATTGTATCTCTATACCACGGTAGTATGTTACATTTTTTTCCCAATACCTGACCTTGTTTTGTAATTAACAAATGATGCAAAAGTTGAAGAGCCTTGCCGAGCGAAATGTACCCTACCGTGTTCCACCGCTGAAAAATGTCACATTTCAATTTCACTCATCTTCGTACAATAGATTGCTTTTGGGAAACTTATGTTGCTTGAGTCGAATAAACCCAATCATTCGGAGAAATGACAGTTGGCACCATGATATATATTTTGTGCAGATAATGAATTGTGCCAAAATCTTGAGCGGGGACTGCAATTTGCATTCAAGTAAACTCGAAAAAATTACACATAGGTCAACATGTTGTGCACACTACTTGAAGCTTTGCGCAATTACGTGTAGCGCCTATCAATTAGCATTGAGGAATATATTGCTGGGTTCCATATCTATTAACATCATGTAGCTACAAAATATAGCGAAATTCAGTATTCGTGTTAATGGGTAAGTGATGGCCAACAGTCTCAATTGTGGGGTTTTTAAAAGGCGCGATCGTGATGTCAATGCGTGAGAACTTATACAGGTATGCAGGGTATATAAATCCTAACATTGCAGGGCAAATTTTTGTACTGTCCAATGTATGTTCGATAGATTTCACTACATTCACAGGCATCCGAATATAGAGAAATTAATTATTCATGTCGAGGATAGTTCTTTTTCTTTCTGGTTAGCGATCGCGATGCCAATCAGTGAGAACTTGTGCAGATATGCAGAGTGTATAAACTTAACATTGCAGGGGAAATTTTATACTGACCAATGTAGGTTCGATGAATATCATTACCTTTACAAGCATCCGCAGCATGTATACGGTGCTATTTAAATTAGGTGCCGATATCTGTGATGGAAATAGAAACAGCGCCATACAATGATAACAAGTACGTCTAACAGCCACATATGTGTACACATGTATATGAAGTAGAGCTTACACCACGCTCTATTCACCTCTTGTGTCCCATTTCTCGCGAAAATCAATACAGTGCGTATTGCTCCTTCGTTGACATATGCAGCTCTACAAACATGTATCATCTACGCGATGTATGCGCATATTACAGAGTCCAGATTCACTACTGAAGAACTACTTGCCGTACGCATCTATTTTTTTTCGTATTGGATTCGCGTAATCAAGTGAGGTTTGTTTGTGAAGCGGGCACTACGTACACTGGTTGTTCATACATGACATCGACTCGTGAATGTCTAAGCGATTCCAATGGCCGCGGCTATCGGGCCATAACTTGAAGAAGAAACAATAGTTGCTTTGCAGCCTGTAGTTCTTCCCGCTCTATGCGTTCTTTCAGAATTCTAAATCCGCCTGTCCTTTCTTGGAGGTGAATATGACTACATACAGTATAAATCAAGGCATCCATATCTGGAACGGCCCATCGCATTGTATGCCCTGGTCTATGGGTGAGTAACAACTCTGAGGTGATGTGTTCGAAAACAGGACCATGAATAACGAAAGTGACGACACGTGGCAAGACCGGCACAGATAACAATTCACACAAGAACTAAAAAAGGTGATGGTTACTACTTCGCAGGCCTTTCGAGTCCGTGTTCTCTATCGAACTTTGTCACAATGCGCTCACGACCTCGGAGACTGGTATAGAAGTAACTTTAAACTATTTCAATATGTAAAATGCCATCAGACTTCCTTACCTTGATCCAGTCATAAGTTAGACACCCTCTCCTTTCTTTCAATTGTAAAAAATGATACAGTACTGTATATGATCGTGCAACGGAACAATAAATATCAAACTAACTCGTAAATATCAACAGGCCTACCTAAACTTCTTCTATCCCGCCGAAATTGCTGTGCTTAGAAGATCCTATATTTTGAGAATAAATGTATTCAAAGAAGGGAATTCTGTATGCATGTGAGGACAAAATACATAAGCGAGATATGTATTTTCGGCCCGCACTCGTACTCCTCTTACATCCGAGATGATATTTCGCGTCGTACTCTGAACTGTTGTTCCGCAAAACATAAGTAATTGATGAGTGATCGGTTTGAGTATGAGATTTCTATTACGTGAATGGAATTCTCAAAATGATATGAATACAATGAGGCTTTAAAATTATGATGCAGATACCGTTCCAGTGTGTTCTCATCAGGTGTCGATAATACAAGCCTCATAATATCCGTATAGCTCGATGCCACCACGGATAGCAAAGCGATTTTATCCACAACGTTGCTACAAGATGGTTGAATACGCTATACGAATTTCTATGGCAAATATAGGACTACAACTGTTGTGTGATATTTTAAGTCAGACACAGTATTCTCGCATCGGGGTCCGCCTTGCCCACGATAGTATTGACTTGAATAGTCGTTTATCGACTGCATTTCGATTTAAAATCTTACTCTTAACCCAGTTGACCTTTACATCGTGATTCAAAAGGTACGGAAAAGAGCCTTCCGCACTTGTGTGACTCAATGATATACGTTTCCCTTCATGACATCACAAGGCTGGGCCTTTTTATTCTGCTACACTTTATTCTTGTATTTTTGAAACTGTATTTGTTTCAATTCTTCCCCGAATTAGATCTAAATATTTCATGAGGTGATGCAAATCCTTGTACAGATTTGAACAGGATATGAAAATTGAAGCTATATTTCTTGAGATGATGTGAAAACCCCCTCGTTTGGAGATTTGACAACTATGATATGGAACTACGCTTCGAATTTGTTCGGACAGACTCGAACCGGTAAGTTTTCTTTTTGATAGTATTTGTGCGTAGAGTATCACTGCCATATGGTGTCGATTGCGAGGTGAATAGTTTTCTATTGTTAAACCGTGAGACACAGTCTTGACAGCTTTACGTTACTTTTTACGTTGAATCATTGGCAAGGACGTGATCTTAACTACCTAAATATAAAACTTCATCTGTATCTTCTTTTCCTTGGTTTGAAGTACTGCTCCTGCTGCTCTAGACTTGAAGCCGAGGCACGAACCAACGAAGATTAGACGACGACTAGGTCTAGGTGTGTGACTCAAAATAGTGCACATGGCAATCTACACAGCGCTCTAGCATCAGTTCCCAAAGTATATCGTCTGTTTGAATTCAAATAACTAATTGTTGGCGATATTTATTGGCGGTATAATGCATGTTCTATGCGTATAAATACTTTTTCGCACAAAGTGACTGTGAAAGAACTCGATGTGACTTTGAAATAAAACAGGAACATCTATACGATTACTTGAATTGAAATGATTTAAATGGTTTTGTGTACATTGGCTGTATATACAGATACTCTTGACTGTGTATGGTCAATAAATAGCAAGACTATCTTTTCCAATATAAAGCACACCGCGTGGCATACGTACCTACCACATTCTGAGTGTGTGTAGGAGGGAGGGGAGAGAGAGGTTCTTTGAGTTGACATTCAAATGCCATCCACAACTACCTTACTTATCGTGTAAAAGTAAGATAGATACATACGAGTTTTCTACTGAAATCAAATAGAGGTTCGATAAAACCAATGATCCATAACTATATATACTGTTCGAGAAGAAAGATGAAATCAATGATCCATAACTATTTATACCGTTCGAGAAGAAAGCTTACTTTTTGAAATATTGATTCCAATAATCCCGAAAGTGAAGAACAAATCAAATGCTAAATACTGTCATGAAATTTATATTTGCATTCATTCAAATCTCACACCTGGTCCTGAAGAGAATAATCGTCATCAACTCAAATTAACTGCACAATCTTGTTGATGTGCCGAAAAACTTTCAAATGTCGAAGATTAGTGAGTTATTTGCAAACATGGCCTTACAAAGGAAAGAGGATGAAGCCCACCAAAAACAATGGAAGAAGGACTAACATTACAACACCAATTCTGGCTTGAGTGTCCGGCATACAGCAATGTACAAGATGCTAATAATCATCTAGAATCGATTCAGCGCATCCTCGAGGAGTTTCATATCAATAGAGATACAGTCTCTGGCACGATAATCAATATCGTGACACATCTTGCCTTAATGCGTAGTCAATACTTTACGACACGAGAGCAGAAGTTCTTGACACTAACTTTTGTGAGTTACAAAGCTCAATACGCTGACCTAGGCGCAGACCATAATACAATCGCCTCACAACCCGCTACAACACACTTGTCACACAACTCACTGAAACACAACAAGTTATATTAAGAACGCAAGCAGCACGCGGATAAGGGTTGTAACGCTAAAGCTGAGGAGAATCTTCGTGGCGAACTACTAAACGCGTACGATGAGATAGAGAAACTCAAAATACGCAACGACAAACCTAAAACTTTCGTGGAAAGATTTGGCACATCGGCTCAACAACCAATCATCCCTGAAAATGAATACCCACAGTGTAAGGACGCATACAATGAGACAAACTAGAAAGCTATCTCAACTTTGGCAGTTGGTTCGCTGGCCTCCGCATGGAACTAGACACTCGGTGTTTTCAGCCGGTTACACCTAGAATGCAGCAATACACTCTTTGGTGGGACGATAGACATCGCCGCTAACAGCAAGTGCCGTCGAATACTCGTAGATTCTATCAGCACAGTACTCATCAAGGCGGTATACAAGCAATACATATCAAAACCGCCTCACGTGTTCTTCAATCACATATGTGTGGCAACGAACACTGGCAGTCAAGGTAAACTATGGGGCACCCTATAGGAGCTTGTAAGAGTGCAATGTAGTAGACTTTAAATAAAGCGCAGATGTATGTATTTATTCTAACCACACATTTGGTTAAATACCTAAGTTGTTTGCGCTAGTGTTCAGCCACTTGGGCTGCCCAGGGTAAAACCTCGTATGGCCAGTTTGAGAAACCTTCTGCAAAACACTTTAACATTTCGATGCTATTCTATTTCGACTTCTCTACAACTAAATCTCACGCTGATCACATGATGGCTGATGCCTTTCCGCATAGGTTGTGACTCACAGATAACCGCAGCTATCTTTACAATGTTGCGGTTGGCAGACTTAATCCACTCTCGGGAGCTGGTTGAGAAACTTAATCTGCTCTCGGAAGTCGGTTTAAGTATTTACATAACTCTCGGGAGTAATTTAAGCAACTTGATTAGCTCTCGGGAGTGAGCTAACTCTGATGACTTCTATAAATCAAAGAGGGTTTCTTGCTGTAAAAACTGGCCTGAGATATGTAGTCTCTGAGAGCTCATCAACTTCTATAAATCAAAGAGGGTTTCTTGATGTAAAATCTTGCCTGAGACCTGTAGTCTCTCAGAGTTCATCAACTTCAATTCAGCAGAATCAATGGACAAAACGAAGCAAGCCCTTGAAGAGATTCGTCAGCGACTTTTGAACGTAGGGGAGTGTATACTTGACCGATATATTATCTGCGCCTTGATGTACGGTCACCCAGAGGACTACAGACCCCTACGCACAGAGGTCTTCAAGAAGGACAACGAGAACATCACAACAGACGATGTGTATGAGATGACACTAAAGTACGAAGGCGATAATCAAATCCGCACCCAGCCTCATCTGTCGGGTATAAACGCTATCAGAGACGAGATCGAGGCATTAAAGGAACACAAACCCTGCCTCGCATTCGGCCTTAAAGGTCACAACATATACTCGTGTCCAACATCAGTCTGTCATCGATGCGGGGTAAACGATCACATGGGAAAGAAATGTCCAGTCGATCGCAAGACCTTGATCTGCACACAACGTGATAAGCCGGGCCACAATGCCGACGCATGTCTACGCAAGTGAAACGTTCGGGTCCACGGCTCTGCAGGGGGTGCTAGTAACGACAATGACTGCGGTACGCCCAACACGACATCAGGTACGGAACACACTGAGAATCATAGAATACATAGCATCACTACAAAACTGGGATCCTTAAACCACACACTTATAGCACAGGCACTTGTAAATTCCGATGCCATGATACATACTCGCACAGATGATATGGAAGTGAAAAGCATTCAGTACGGTAGATTAACTGTTGAATTTTCTGATGGATTGCAGACTATAGTCCACCGTCGCGGTATCATACCGAACTTAGGAGCGGTGCTGATTATGCCCCACAAGCATCACAAGATATACTATCAGTTAAACTTATACACCGTATCGGACTCGGGGTCTATTTCCCAGCCGAACCAGATATCAATAAGCCCACCCAATGCTTAATCCTCAACGACAATAACATTCAACACAGTATTGATGAACATAAGGGGCAATATAGGACAGCCAATGAACATAGCGATATACCTCCAGCATGGCATGCACGATTAGAGCACTCACCCCCGCGAAACATTGCAGCTACACTACAAGATAATAGTGTGCAGAAGATACCACGCAAGGGAGTGTCCACTATGAACTATTTGCTCAACAGGAGCGTATACCTAGACGACGTCGTCGAACCTTTCGGATACGTAGATATATATTTCTTTGCAGTCTTCAGTCTTTAGCGGCTGATCACTAGCACAAACACCTGAGGTATAAAACCAAATGTGAGGTCAGAAATAAAGACATACATTTGCACTTTATTTAAAGTCTACTCCATTACACCCTAACAACTTATCAGGTCACTGAGGGTACCGATGGACACCCAAGGAAATCGCTGAGGAATATCAGATTATCAACCGTACCTTATCTCCACTACTGCAGATGGAGATCTGCCAATTTATTTATTAGCCGTGGGAAGCTTTCGCCGCACTGCAACGCAAGTTTGAAGCCCTGACCGAAGATGATATTCAGACATTAGAAGGGAAACTGAACCGCATCACGCAAGAACGGAACGAATCTTCGCCAGTCTTATCAGTCGTCTCAACACATCATTTGTGAAATTCAAAAACGCCGGAAGTTCGAAATCCAACAACAGCCCATGCGCTATCCTACGGCAGGCTGTAAACGACGATAATCATACTGTTAAGATTACGTTAAAGACACCGCTATGATGGAGATGTCGTATGATGACCTCACCACGTATCTCATCGCATTGGATCCAGACGAAAGTGACCCATCAACCATTATGCACGGTGCACATGCAACTATATCGACAGGAAATTGTGCATACTGCAACAATCAAGGACATTCCACCGGGCAATGCAGATAGCTACAAGCGTTAATCAAATCGTGAGTTGCTGGTAAACCACGTAATCAGGGTCGTGACACGACGGTCGTACTCCTTACGCTCTGTTCCTCGTCACGACATGAGAGACTACAGATATATGTCCATGAATAACTACAAGCATAGCCGACATGATTCAGATCGTGTTTTACACGTTATAAACGATACAACAGAAACAACCGATACCAATACCTCTACGATAATCACGATGATCATGACCGACAGAACTACCGAGTATATAGATACAATCGACGCGACTACGACGATGGTAGATATTCACGAGATACCTAACGTTCACAACAGTGTCAGAACATACCGATTCTAGAGCAATTGACGCCTAGCTCATGAAGGCAGACAGGACAAAGCATGTCAGCCCAAGTGTCCGATGACCAGCTACCTGCTAACAGACAGATTGCATTCTCCACAATTAACACTACAATCGACAACTAGGAGGTGAACGATCAGTCGGACAAAGATTCGAAGAGGTGGATACTGACTAGCTTGCGATAGTTCCGCCACCGTACACTTACTTTCCTATACGTACCACAAGCATCATCTCGTCCGCAACATATGCCTTAATGACAGGTATGCGCTCGAAGTAGCTGATGGTACAATCATTTATTCAAAGTATGTGGCTCAGCTACGAAACCTGGGGGACGTACTCATCGATATGACATTCAAAACTGCACTACTAAGCATCATCAGCCTGCTCTCAGAGCGACACTACTCATTTGAATTCATCATCAACATGATATACATATTACTACCAAGCTTTTGGAACCATAACAGTGCATGAAAAGCACAAAATATACTGCGTGCACATCAACGACATAGCTATGACTACAGGGGAACCATCGCTAGAGAAAGCCAACCAGATTGCATGGCTCAACAGGCTCGCGCACTCCAGCTATGTCCCAAAAGATTTACCCTACATAAAGCAATCAGATGAACGATGCAAAGCATGCACTATTGCAAAGAAGAAGAAGAACCTGCCACAGAGCCTCTCGAGTTGGTCTTCGTCGACATAATAGGCCCGTTCGCAACGTCAATAGGTTCCAACACCCACTCTGTATCAATCATAGACTATCTTTCTAGCATGGCCAAAGAGTATTCGATCAATTCTTGACGCTATGGTACACACATTCAATAAATGATTTGTCTTAATTCGTCGCCGAGTTCAGTGCATACAAATGGATCGAGGTTCACATTTTACAGCAAACGTAACTAGATGCTTGTGTATTTGGGATGCTGCTCAAAGTACGCACCTACAGCCACGCCACAGCACCATGGCAAGTTAGAGAGACTGCTGCAGATCGAGTATTTTATAATAGTACACCTTCTTTTATTTAACTAAACTAGATTTTTAGCTTCGACGTACTGAATCCTCAAGGTATACTAAATGAACCAAACTGGTCAAGCCTCTTGGCTAATATTCATTTGCTCATACATCGTTCCTCGACGGTCTGAGACTCTGAGGGCATGTTCTAACTCGTAACTAATACGAGTCCACACTGATAAAAACTAACTCTCCACCAATAGGAATGCTGCCCTAATTACTCTAATTGCTCCTTGCTCTACTTGACCACAGTCCTGTCCTCTACCCCGAGGCAGAGGTGCAGGACTACATCAGTCCTTGTACCCTGCGGATCTACAACCCCCCCCCCCCACCAGATTCAGCAATGGCTGTGTACAGGGATTTCTGGATCTCAATGTCCGAATGGTACCAACCCTCCTAAGTGTCCAGCGAGTCTAGGTCCAATTGCGTGGCTGCCAACTTCAATTTCCATTCCTCTAACTGGTCGTCTTGTAACACATGTGAATATGCGAAACGGTATGCTAAATTAATGCCTGACAACTTCGATTTGGCCTTCTTGATCGTGCGTGCATGTCCATTGAAGTACTCTTCATCCTCCATCCTGAACGTCTCTACTCTATGATGCCCGTGCTCGTTGGCCGGTTTCTTGAAAAACATAAAACTAAAATTACATCTATATATAAAATTAATCGCTACTGGCGTAGTCAACCCTTTCCTTGGGAGCCGTCGCAAAAGGTGAGTCGTATAATATCCAACTACTATACGGTGATCTGGTAAAAGATCCCCGCGGTCTCGCCTCACGACGGCACCTCTCGCCCTTTGTATCTGTAGTTGTGTGAGCACCTCGTCTGCTGCGACTGCTTGTGCGGCTGTGTCCGCGTGTGCTTCCGCTTGTGAGTAAAACTCCGTGCCATCCTCTCCTATCTTTACTAACCGTGCTGGTCTACCTCGAAGCGCCCCACTGAGCCATAGTGGTGTATTAGGTCACACCCGTGGCCGTACATGCTTCGCCGATGCGGTTTCCGACTGTTGATGTATTGCCTGGTTGGCTTCGTACACTTGTTGTGGCGTCAGACCCGATGATGTTGTGTCTAGCTTACTAAATTTCATCGGGGCATTCTGCAATGCTTTCTTACTGCGTCCCTGGGGGTTCAACTCTGTCTCCGTGGTGTAAAAATTTCTGCCTACCGCGAATTCTGCTAATTCCGTCATCATGACTGCTCGCCGCCATGCTGCACGTTCTGTTGGCGCACTCATGTCGGTTTGCTTCGCGTGGATATCTACCGTGAATCCCGGACCAAACAGGTAACTTGCCGCCTCAAAATGTTCAATGAGAACCCTTTCTACGTCATGAATACTCGGTTCATTCGGCAATAATGGATAAATTTCAATAAGCACTGACTGGTCAATATATTCGTACATCAATTCCAAAAGGTCACTCCTTGCATTAGGTCCTTTAGCCAGAGTGCTGCAGACTTTGCCTTTGGTAAACTTCTTCCAAGGTCGCAAGAATGCACCAATGGGATCATATTTTGCCACCATGTACATGCGTGGGGGACGATCATATTCGTTAGTTGACATGTCGGAAGGTAGTGACTGACACTGTTGGCAAAAAAATAAAATAAACCCTCTTTAAGATGTTGTCTACTACCTACTTATTAACTCAGCTACGTTCAAGCTAGTTTGGTTGTAGATCGAGTATTCTTTAATAGTACACCTTCTTTTATTTAACTAAACTAGATTTTTAGCTTCGACGTACTGAATCCTCAAGGTATACTAAATGAACCAAACTGGTCAAGCCTCTTGGCTAATATTCATTTACTCATACATCGTTCCTCGACGGTCTGAGACTCTGAGGGCATATTCTATCTCCTAACCAATACGAGTTCACGCTGATAAAAACTAACTCTCCACCAATAGGAATTCTGCCCTAATTACTCTAATTGCTCCTTGCTCTACTTGACCACAGTCCTGTCCTCTACCCCGAGGCAGAGGTGCAGGACTACATCAGTCCTTGTACCCTTCGTATCTACACTGCATGGTACATTGGTCCCTAGAATGATTGTACAACTGAAGTATGCCCGTCTACCGACTACTATGTGGGCTGAATCATTGATTCAAACTACCAACATATACAATGCTATACCCACCGACGGAAAGAGCTCATCCCAAACGAGAAATTCACAGGATACGCATTTCCGATAGATATGTTTCGAATATTCGGGTGTCACATTGCGTACAAGAACTGTGATCCAGACGGCAAACTCGACGATAGAGCACTGGGTAGCATTCTCCTTGCGTAACCCTTGGACACAACACCGGACTCGTATCGTATATTTTTTCACCTCTGACCAATCGTATAATACAAAGCCGAGACGTCTATATATTCGAAGACGACTTCTTTGTCTGGGAAGGCAACAGATGTACAACCGCTATCGCACCACCAGACACTATAAACAACAGCACATTTCTCCAAATCGAGAATGACGATTTCCAAACAGACGCAAGGACAACATCGACAACGGAAGATATTATTAGCCAACGAGCCCAGCCAACTGTGCCGCAAAAGTCGAGCAACTCAGAACAACTACAAATAACTTCATCGTCAACATAACCTATTGAGAGCGAAGTACATACTGGTGAGTTGGAGGCTCCCGTAGCGACTACCAAAACACAACACGATGTGGAAGCAACCATAGCTAGGAGAACGGCGGAAGGTCGCCAAGTCTCTCGAGAACAGCGAGACTTTGCGAAAGGTGCTAATAACGTCAATTGGTATCACGACAGCCGCCATAAAAGACGATCTTCCATTCAGCAATGGAACTGAAAATATACAAAGGTATATACGAGATAACAAACGCAGCCGATTGAGAGGAATCAGCACGTTCGGAAATCGAGAGCTTGGTGATGCAACGCAGAGCATTCACTCTGGTTGACAACAAACCACGGGAGAAATCACTATTCCCCCCTCGATGGGTATTCAAGGCAGAACGGATGAATCAGTATAAATCACACGACTTAAATCACGTCTGAACGTAGCAGCATTCAACGCAAAACAGAGAGTCGCTTACGATGAAAACTATGCCCCAGTAGTAGCCAAGGAAACACTCAGGATATGTCTAGCTTTAATGGCACACTTCGACATGGACATTTGACAATACGATACACCCTCGGCGTACCTCACTCAAGAACTGAATACCCCTAGCTACGTGCGAGTGCCGCAAGGATACGATCTCATCGAACATCTACTGGACCCGTCTCAGAGACAATTATACGAAAGGCACAAAGAAGGAAACACAAAGGTCGTATGTCGAGTTGACCGTTGCGTATACGGTCTACCACCTAGCTGGCACTATTGGTTTAAAGCTATTCTTTGGTTTGCTATAATTGACCATTATAAACAAGCGCAATCTGATGGAGCACTGTTCATCAAACAAACCCCCATCGAACCGTGTTTCATTATTGTACACGTAGACGACAAAATTGCAGCATGCCAGAGTAAGACTGACGGACACAAATGAAACAGGGATTAACAGACTGCAAACCAGCATGGGTGCCAATTCTAGAGTCGGACTATGAAGTAACAGACAAACACGCATATCTCCCAGAAAGAGCGGCAAGTTCAGATGTCCCAACAATCATACAATACAACAAGCTTAGATCGGTAGTAAGTAGTCGAGGATAACTGTATCTCAACGTACTCCCCTCGTACAAGGGGAGACGTTGTTTATTTATTGATCTAAATCCTGTGACTATCATTTTGGTCATGTGTTTTCCGTTAATCAGTTTTAACCTGATTGGATAAACCCAGTTCAAAATGTAGTCTCTAATAAAACCCAAATATCAAATAAACCCTAATTCTAAATAAACCCTATCAGGGACTTCCTGACTACAACCCCCCCAAGCTGAAACACCACAAGTGTGCGAGCTTAAAAGATTGAAGGAATGCCCTGAAAGCGGTTACGTGCTGGCATTTATTCTCAGAGAGCTAGATCATTGTGCTGGCATTTATCCTCAGAGAGCTAGAGCATTGTGCTGGCATTTAACTTCAGAGAGATAGAGGGCTCGGCTATTTGTTCACCACTCGAGCTGGTGACTAAACGGTAAGTACACGTAACTTAAAATTGTATATATTAACAAAATTGTCTTCTAACTATAACTGGTCTCTCCGGCGTTTCCGAGCTCGTGTCTGTGTATCTTTGTGATATGCCACAATGTCATTCGCGTCGTCAAAGGCCTCGGCCGTTTCCCACGTCAGCACCCCCTCATGCCAACGCACCAGGTATTCGAGTTTACCCGTAACAACATTTGTCCTATGTTTGATGATGTGACGGAACACTGACCCGCCTTCTTGCCAAAGATCATCGTTCAACGGTGGGTCTGTACTGCGGGACCAACCGTAGTAACTCAACCCGCACCGGCAAACTCCTGGGCAGTGGACCCATCTCTATGTGTAAGGTCATAACCTTGACCGTTGCGGCCTTTAACTACGTATGGGCCAAACAGTGGGCGCATGGCTTTGAAAGTTCGCCCCTCCGATTTCACCATCACGATGTCGCCTTCATCAAAGTGGACTAAGTCATGGGCGTGTAACCGATCAAACGTCTTCGTCAATTTATCCGTATAGGTCGTAGTAATCTTATGCAGTGTAGGCAAAGTTGTATCCTGGAGCTGGTCCAACCGTTGTGCCCACGTGTCATTAGTAACCTGTTGTTGTTCTGGGACGTCATCGGTGAAATCCGCAAACGGCACGTGTCGACGTCCGAAATAAACACTAAACGGCACGCTTTTGTGTCGTCGGGAGATGCGCAAGTTCTGGTACAGCATTGTCAAAGGGGGACATTCGTCCCATGCTTGGGGTACTGCCTCACAGACGATGCGTATCGAACGTGTTATCTCCTTATGCCGACGTTCCGTTGCCCCAACACCTGTGGTCTATAAGGTGGTGATACTTTGTGAAGTATACCCACTGCCTTGACAATGAGGGCGGCCATGTTGTTCGTAAACTCATTACCCATATCTGTCTGTAGCTTGCGAGGGAAGCCATGTTCGCCAAAGAAAGACAACAACATCTGCGTGGTGGTTTCCTTAGTCTTATCTGGTGTAGCACGTAAGATCACGTCTAATACATGGAGGACAAATTTATTCTGTCTTGTGGACGTTACCGGCATTGGAATATAGTCCACCTGAATGTGATCCTAAAGGTACTTCACATCAATGCTTATCATCGGATGTAAGCCTTTACGTAGGGTATGCTGGCCCAAACACTGTCCACATTGCCGTTTAATTCCTGTAGCCAGTTCTAATGCCCCCGGCCAAACGTGGCCGTTCTGTTGTAACTGTTGGACAGTATCGGCAGCGCCGTGGTGGCCTTGCTCATACTGTGCCGTGTGAGTTGTGTACGCCGTTGTTGTTCCATCGGTGTGGCATTCGCAAAGGCCGGTTGTGCCCCCTCACTACTTAACGCCACGGAAATCTCTCGTGCCGTTTCCAAACACTGATGGTATGGTGTGTGTCGAGGTTTGGCATAGCCTAATCGTTGTGTAAAGCTCTCGGCGAGCTGAAAACCTGACGGCGGCCCCACTCGTGCAATGACCGTGTGCCCCCACGGAGTCTTCTCACAGGCATACTTCGCATACTTTAGACATGTATGCGGGGTCCGGGGTACTATCACTGGCTCGGTTTGCAATAATGATTTGAAAATGTCAAACCATGGTGCGCGAGGTGTCCAAGGTAAGCACACCGTCGCTAGCCCCATCCGCTTTGATCTTCCGAAGCATGCTATGTATCAACCTCCACGGCGGGTTCATCCACCCGTCAAACAACGCCCAGTTATGATCAAATGCACTGTCGCGCTCGTTCTTTGTCCAAAACCTAGGAAGCTGCGCGTTATGGGGTGCTGCGAACACGTCTATGTTGTTGTGTCCAAAGATACGCTGTGCTTGTTCGAAGTAGCTGGGAAATAATAGCCAGCAGTCTGCATATAGTATCTCTGGCACGTCTGTTTCCGCGGTCCCTTCATGTATACGACTCAGCATATCCGGCAGGACATTCCTCTCCTCAGGTATATGTGAAATGGTGAAGTTAAAAGGCGCTATAATGTGGTGCCACCTCTGTAGCATAGGATTAAGCTTAATACTTTGTGATCCGTAAACACCGCAAAGCGCTGGCCGTCAAGGTAGTCGCGGAAGTGTGTCAACCCGTAGACCAACGCTAGTAGTTCCTTCATTGGTGTCGCATAGTTCTGTTGAGCCTGATTGAGTGTCTTGCTGAAAAACATTAGGTAGTGTTTATTGCCTTCCACCCACTGGAACAACACGCCCCCCAATCCGTAGTCACTCGCGTCTGTCTCGAGGTTGAGGGGGACGTCACCCACCGGAAAGTGTAGTGCGACCGCGTTGACTATCGCGTCCTTCATTGCTGTCCACGCGTCCGCATGGCATTGTTCCCACCTATCTCCGATCAGTTCTTTCAGCTTCAGCTTGCAAAACTCCCGTAGAGGGGCTACCACGTGTGCGAAATTGGGTAGGTGTTCGTGCAAGAAGTTAGCTAACCCCGACGCGGAGGCAATGTCCTTGTATCGCTGAGGTGTTGGCCAGTCGAGGAGTTTAGCCTGCTTCTCAAAGTCAACGTCAATCCCTGCCGCTGAAACCTTCTTACCTAGTATCAAAACCTCTGCAATTGCAAAGTGACACTTCGCTGGATTCAGTTTGAAACTGTTGTATGTCAATCTTCTGATCACCTCCTTCAATTTAGCGATGTGCTCTTCATAATCGTCACTGGCAATCACAATATCGTCAATGTGGTGGTGGACTGGTAGTCCATCTAGTATCGTACTGAGTGTCCGTTGTGATTGTTGCGTCAATACGTGTAATCTGAAAGGTGCCGATGTAAACGAGTACTGGTATCGATCGTGCGTGAAACTAAATAGGTATCTAGAATCCGGGTGTATCGGTAGTCTATGATATGCTGCTGATATATCGAGTGTGGTATAGTACTTCCTGCTCTTCCGTCGTGAAATGATCTCATTCACCTTCGGTATCAAAAACTGGTCTCCTGGAATCAGTGCTTTGACCGCTCGCATGTCCAGACATACCCGTACCTTCTTCACATTACCCTCACTATCAAACGTTGGAACTGCGAGTAAGGGAAGATTAACCGCCGTGGGAGTGGTCCGCTTGGTAATCACTAGGTCCTTCCACCACTTCTGTACTTGTTCATCGACATGCGGTAGCCATCGCTCGGATACAAAGTTGCGTGTCGATCGTCTCATACTCCTAGCCTGCTCGCGTGTCACCGGTATTGCCACTTCACTCCCCTCTAAGCGGCAAAGTGCATTGTCTGCAATGTCGGCGTTCGCTTCCAACACTGTGGCCAGCCTTGTCCGTACTTCGTCGGGTTCGATAAGGAGTTCATCTAGTTCCGTTGGGTCGATAGGTGCGAGTGGTGACTGAATTCCGCCAATATATAACCCAAGGTCCGTCATCATGTCCAGCCCGAGTATAATGTCGATGCTGTCAGGGAGATTCATCAACTCGAACGCTCCATTGATGATCTCTGAGCCATAACGTATCGGTAGCAATTCTGTTGTCCCCAGGCGAGGAGTGCGTACCGCTTTATCCGCCAAATATATAAATGATTCGCTGGGTGCTAAGTGCGGATGCTCGTGCGATGCAACTACGGTTCCCACCTGTATCTATCAACGCTCGGAATGTACGACCTTTCACCTGCAATTGTATATAGGCACGGATGTCGGAGGACAGCAGTGGGTCTTTTATTGCCATCACTGTCTTCAATGGATGCGTGAACGTAAATGCTACATCATCATCGGACACCCTGAGGTCTCAGTGTTGCTCTGTTATCGGAGTCCATTGGGGCTGCGATGTGTCCGTCTGTTTATCCGCGGCCTGCTCGATGTCATTGGTTCGGATGGAGTGTATATGTAACTCTGTGGCCGACTGGCTATCGTGTCCCGGACCCTCCTCCTGTGTGAGCACATTAACCTGTGGTATCGTCGTAGTTGAGGTCGACTGTCGGCTTAGGTATTCTGGTGGTTGGTGCACGGACCCCTGTGGTGGCGTAGGTGGCTGTCCCATTGTCACCTCTATCTGCTGCTGACTAGTGTCTGACGTCCGTGTCCTCACGTCCTGCCCCCCATGTTGGGCCGCTCGGTAATGGTGGCAGCGCGGTATGTGTCGCAACCCTGGAGGTGCTTGTGCGCGGCAACCGTTGCACGTCATTGGGTTAGTTGTTGGAGTCGGGCGTTGTTGCCATTGTTGCTGCTGACGCTGGACTATGTGTGAGCTAGGTCTATTATTCGTCGTCTCCCCCCGGGCTGAGTCCCCATTGTGACCTCGACGATTGACTAAACCTTAT